GCACTGTTCCCATCCCCCCAATTCCCCAATAAAAATCTTTAAAAAACAAAAACAAAAAAACACTGAATTGAAAACTTTATTTATAAAAAAAAAAGAAAAAGAAAAAAAAAAAAAGAAATGACAGGACACGGGCTTTGGCCGCCCCAGGAGTCCAGCCCAGAGAAGGGCCTGGGGGAGTGGTGACCTCCAGCTGGTTCTCTAGGCCTAGTTCCCGGGCTCCATGCCTCAGTTTCCCTCCTCCCGTTTATGTGCACTGACCCTCCCCACCACCTCCTTTCGCTGGGTCACAAGTCCCTAGGAGGCTATGAGCCAGGCAGGACAGCTGGGAGGGGAGCTGCCCTCGGGTGGGAGCTCTGAGGGCCCCCACTGTCTCTGAAGGGTGTTCTGAATTTAAGGAGAAAACTTGAGTGGGGGCTCCCTTTGGAAGAATGGTGGTGAGAGAGAGGGTCCACCAAGGCCTTATGAGGATGTGGCCCTTCAGAGGAGACTGTGGGTAGAAGACGGGATCATGGACTTGCACCGGACACTCCATCAAAAGGCTGGTGAGTGACGCTCTGAGAAATCCCTGCCCGGAGGCCCCCACGGTGGGTGGTCCTACAGTTTGGAACCTGGAAGAGGCAGCAGAAGGCATTCCTGCTGGATGGGTCTCGGGTCCTGGGGATGAAGGAGAGGAAGCGATCCGTGATGTGCGTTGAGACAGGCACCTTTTCCTGAACCTTCTAGAAAGGAAGCTGAGGTCAGCCCTCTTCCTAGGGAAGCAAAACCCTCTGACATTCTGCTGGAGGGGCCACACGTGTCCTTTTTTACAGATGGGGAAACAGAGGTTTGGGGAGGTCAAGTTCAAGCACTGGGTTAGGAACTGTTTTCAGTTTTTAAATTTCACAGACCTGTAACCTGAAGTCCCTTTGAGAATAGGTGGGCCTCAAAATCTGTTTTTGAAATTGAATCACAGAATTTCTGCAAAGAGCCCCTGGCCCTAACTCCCTGCCCCTGCTTAATGCCACCAGCAGGTTTCATCTTTGAGCCGCTCTCTATTTTGAGGCCAAATCCATCAGCCCAGCCACAGGAACCACACAAACCAGGAGCAGCCTGGACTCTGTTGACATTAGGCCAGATCACGCTTTGGTGCGCACGGGAGAGGCCCCTGCACGCTGCAGGATGTTGAGCTGCATCGCTGGCCCCTGCCCTCCAGAAGCAGTAGTATCCCCCGGAGTCGTGACAATCAGCTGCGTCTCCAGACATTGTTCAATGTCCCCTGGGAGGCAAAAAATACCCTCCCCACTGCTGCATTGAGAAGCGCTGGGTTAAAGCTTGCAAATTCTGGCTCATGGGACAAAGGCAGCCCTTAGACAGGTTTGGTTTGGCCTGCAGAGGGTGTTCAAGGTTTTTTTAATTAACAGACAAAACTTTATAACCAGCTTCTCCTGGAAAAATCAAAAGATTTGGCCACACTGGCCTGCCTCCCTACAAGGTGGGGATCGGCTCCAGCTAAGGGAGGGTACTCTCCTTATCGGGGTCTGGTTGCTGCCAGGGCACCGGGGTCTCCACGGCCCCCTATAGTCTCCTACGCTGAGCTTTGCCATCTTTATCCTCCTGCACTCGGGCCTCGGGTTTTCTTACCCCACCCATTCACATGCCCTGCCTGACCCCTAGAGGCATTTTTGTCAGTAACCCCTGCTTTAAAATGTACAACTATCGCTAAACCACCCTCTTGGTTTCTCTTCTCCAGGCTAGATTCTCCATTGCTTCCACTGTTCTTGATATCTCTGATCTTAAATAATTAGGATTTCTCCTGTAGGTTCTAACCACTTTGTTGGGGGGTGTGGGGGAAGAAGATTTTTTTTTTTTTAATCTGTAACCACCAAGTGCTTAGGCACTCCTGGTGCATTACTAGTCCAGTATATTAGTCACATATTTACATAGAGACATGTTCTTTGCCCAAAACATTTTTAAAGAATTCCTAGTGAACATTCAGCCCAACAAGCATGTATTAAGTGCTTACCAAGGGCAAGGCAGCCTGATAAGGCTCATGAAGAATAAAATGCTGAACAAGACACAGCCCCTGAAATGCAAGGAGTTCACAGACTAGAGGGAGAGGAGCGTGTACTAGTAACTATAATAGGCATAGAAAGAGCTAGAAGCTGCAGGGGATGCACAGGGAAGGGAGAGAGATACATTCTGGCTGCTGATATTAAATTAATTGAGGTAGAGAACATTCTTTCCCCGTGTAAATCTTTCCAGAGAGGCCAGAAAGTCTCCCTAAAATGTTATTATTGCTATTACCAAGCTATTTTTGTGTTTTATTTACTGTGTCCCTATCAAGGACCAACCCTCTGTTCAAAGCCCAGGACAAAGGTCATCTGCTTCTTGGCGGCCCCCCACCCCACCCCCGCATGCCCCCCTGCCATCCATTGTAACTCTCTGGACATTCCTTCTCTCCGCTTCCAGACTGGACACCGAATGAGAGCAAGGACCGAATCTGGTGGCCTCTGCTCCCTCCTGAGCCTTGCATAGGGCCTCCCACATGGCAAGTGCTTAGTGAATTTTTGTTGGATAAAGTTCTAGCCCTCCCTTTCCAAAATCAATGTCACCACTGCAAGAAACTGTTCAAATAAAAACAGCCGAAATGTGTAAAAACTTTCAAGAAGCACTGCCATTTTTAGCAGACGGTTAGAACTCATCTCCCCACCCGCCTTTCGCTTTGTTTCTAATTCTGAATTTGGGGCTAGATGTGGTAGGCAGTCCCCCCCCTTTTAATCTTTAAATATAGTTCTGAATATAATTACATTTTTATGCAGCACCAAAACATCATATCCTGGTAACGGGGCATACTTGCACTATTCACATCTGAGTTAAATCTCCTTCACGTCTGTCTTCTATTGAGGACAGTTAGGAAGTTTAAGATGAAAGTGACCGACATCATTTGTGAATTATGTGTATTTCCTTATGCTGTATTTCAATAGGTTTTGCTCCTGGTGGTTTTGCGAATACCAGGTCGTCTGGTAGCCGTGCTTTCACTGAAAACCCCTTTTAAGACACGAATCCCATGATCCTGGCATGGAGGACACACACCACGTTTAGAAGAGGGTTCGTCTTGGGTTAGGAAATAAATTGCATCGCGTGGTCCTCTTTGCCAAGGAGCCTCATCCATCTAGTAAGTGACCTGAGGAGCTGGAGCCCACACAGATAGCTGGGCGGATCCAAATGGAAAGGGTTCATCTCATTCCAGAAACTCCACTGAGCTCCTAACCCCATCACCTCCAGTCCTCACGACAGGTACCAGTCGTCCCATGTTGTGGATGGAGAAACTGAGGTTCCACAAGGGTCAAGTGACTCACCGAGCTCCTGCAGCTGGTAAGCAAGCTGATGTGCCCTCCCACCCCCTCCCTGTCCGTTTGACTCCAGAGCCAGCGATGTCACCACTGAGAAAGATGATAGAAAGGGAGCCATTTCCAAATGGAGTCAGAGCTGCCCTCCCAGAGGGAAGGCCTTGCAGTCTTGCTCCTTGAAGCTTCGGAATGTGTGAACTGGGCAAAGTAACCTTTAGACGGGGCCAGACCAACATTGTCTTCCAAACAACAGTTTGTAAAGCTAGTAACAGGAAGGCAGACCTCCTGACGACAAGGGCTGAAAATCAAGGACAATGCTTTAGAATCAGTGAACAGCCATGGAGAGTTAAAGAATAACTTAGTTTATTAGCTCCAGTAGAAATTCCTCCCTCCTATTCATGTAATTATTTCCTTTCCCTTTCTCAGAAAAGTCCCTTGCCTTTGCCCCGTAATCGGGACATAACTTGGGTTTCTGCCTGAATCTATACCCCCGATAGCATTTTCTCTCTCTCTCTCTCTCTCTCTCTCTCTCTCTCTCTCTCTCTCTCTCTCTTTCTCTGTCCCCCACCCCTTTCTTTTATCTCAAATGATTGTTGCTGCCACTTCGGCTTTTTATTTTGAAGTTAACACCACTTAGAGCCGATGCTGGTTCCTGCCAGCGTGCCTGACACCATCACTTACCTGGTTGGGTGTGGGACCTGTCAGGCCCAGAAAGAGAAAGCCCTGTCACAGGAGAAAGAACCACAAGGCTAGGGAAAGAGGGCCCGTGTGGCATGTGCCTGTCACCAGCAAGCACACCCTCGCAGTGACTCATTCACCCACACACTAGAAGAAGCACCCCCACGGTCCAGAGGAGGGGAGCAGCCAACTCAGCAAACTCCAGGCTCAGGGCTCCCCTACAGAGAGCTTTCATTCCCGGGGTTCCTTGAGCCACCTGGCATTGCTGTGGGGCAGTGAGGAATTAGTTGCATGTGGCAGGGTGCTTCCCCTGCCCTGTGGCTGTCCTCCATGGGGTCACCCTGGCCAGGCCTCAGGGGTATAAATGGAAAAGGTCTGATGCCAGCTGGCCCCACAGGTCTGCTCTCCAGGTCTCTGCTTCCCCGTGGTGACAGTGGCTCGAAGGAGAAGGGGCTGTCAGAAGGAGCAGGACAGCCGATGCCAAAATCAGGACACTGACATGGACCCCGAGCACCCCAGGATGCTGACCATCACGAAGTCCCCGTTTTTTGTCACTGTAATGGACTCAGAGAAATTTCAGGCTCACACTTTCCTTGATACGGAAACCTCTTTCCTTTTTGACCACAAACTTCTTTTGCTTCTGCTTGGGAATATGAACTAAGGCCTCTGACTCTGGCTGGGATGACACTGGAATGGGGATAGACACGTGACACAGGAAAACATACACTTTGCAGGCACGTGAATAAAAGGGTGGTGGGAGGGCCTTAGCCAGGGGCCGCACCTGTGATCCGCACAGCACACTTCCCGAATCGGTGATGTGAGATTACTTGGCGTTTGGTATCACTGCCTGGGCTGGTACTTGGCTGCACAGATGAAGAGAAAGAACAAAACAGGCCACACCCCTAGGGGATCCTGCCGTTTGCACAGTTCTGTAAGGAAGCAGGGGCCAGGAGCAGGGCTGCCCCTGGGAAGCTGAAGAAACGTCTCTGCCAAGACCGTCTTCCGCTTTGGTGACTTAGCCTGGTGCCCTTCCACTGTCAAAGCTGCTCTTAAGAAATCAAGCTCGTATCAGTTGTTTACACTTTAGCAAGAATTTTACTGTGTCAGCCCTCTCACAGGGGCATTTTAAGCCAGCTCTGCAGTTGCTAAATGAAAGAATCTGTCTCGAAATAGAGGGATTTCAAGCATCACGAAGAAGGGAAGGGATGTCCGGGGGCATGGCAAGACCAACCCCAGTGCCCTAAACGCACCGGAGCCCTGATCATGAAATTTGGTCCACGATGGAATTCTGTCCATTGTACAGCCTAGGTCTTCTCCGACCTACCCATGCAGGAGGAAGCCTTTGATCCACCTGCATATGAAGTTCCTTAGAATTTAAATTCCCTGGAGACAGGAAATGGTCTTCCAGATTCCAGGCCTCTCTGTATTACACCCCAAGCTGAACAAAATAGTTAACACATACAGGGTCTAGATCACGGGTCCCGACCGCTGTCAGGTCACAGAGCCCTGGAGAGCCTGACGAAGGCTGCAGACCCTCTCCTATCTTTGTTCTCAGACCCTCTGGAGCCCATCTGGGAACCTCCCAGAAGTTTGAAGCCCCCCGGTTTGGAGGCCTCTACTAGATGATTCCACTTCTCACTCACACTCTACACCCCGCCCATACTCCATACACACCCATGCCCTTCAGAAAGAGCAAGGGTCTCTGTCCCAAGCAATTCAGGAGTGCTTGGCCAGGGTTGCAGTTAAGAAGAGAAGAGGTGGGGTGGTGCCATGGGGATAAGGTGCCCCGGAGAGAGGAACACAGAGGGGATGAGAGAACGAGGAAGCTGGGAAGGGTGCATATCGGGCCTTACCCAACGGGCAAGCGGCTTCTAAAGAGTCGGCATAGTCACTGCTCCCCAGCCAGAGTGTCAGGAGCTGCTGGGAGGTGTTCAGCACCTGGTGAGGCAGGAGTGTCCCTCTGGGGCCTCTGAAACTGCTCCCTCCACAGGGCCCCCCCCCTCCCACCTTCAGACTAGTCTCTGGACGAAACCCCCAAGCGTCACAGAGCCCAGGTCAGGGGCTGTTGCTCCAATGCAACCAGGAAATACTATTTAGCCGGGATATTTTTAGCAGGAAGCCAGCTTGGAGCAAATGTCATGTGAGCCGTCTTCTCTTACACGGCAAGTTTGGGCTATTTAAAGAGATGGTAATTACGTTCCTGCCACCATGATCAGGACGAGCTGAATGCATGATTGCAGGGGCCCCTCATCTGCTGTGCAGAGCACTTTACGCTAATGGGGCCCAATTTTCGAAGCCGCCTGCCTAAATCTGTCCGGTCTCGCAGGTGGACATTTGAACCCGCACTGCAGGGATGGCAAACTGCTCTTTGGGGCCTCATAGCTGTTCCCAACAGCAACTCCAAGGGCACTGTGCCTTGAGACCCCCCCTCGAAACCCCCCTGGCAGGGCTGCTGCCCACTGACCTCATGCCTCTGAAGAAGGTCTTGCTTCTTGTTGATGTCCACGTGCAATCCCACCTGGCTGACATCTTCCAGAGAAGCCACCAACTCCCCTTGAAGGGACAGCAGCCATGGGGTCTGGAGAAATAGGGCACCCTCATAAACAAGCTGGCCAAGGAGATACAGTTACCAAGAGGGTCGAGGAGAAAGTGCATTTGAGGGGACACTCAGGAAGGTGACAGGGCCCCGGGGAGGATGAGCAGGACCAGGAGGCAGGGCAGCAGGCCATCAGGGAGGAAGGCAAAGTGGACACCTGCGCTCCTTATACGTCAGGGGAGCAGACCCCTTGCAGGAGGGTTTGGCACATAGTAGGTGCACTATGCGGCTGAAAGAATGGATGCACTGTTACCCCTACTAGCAATGCCACCCAGACCGCCCCTACGCCACCCAGGCCAGGCACAACTGGGGTCTTGTCCTCAGTTCCATTTGTCATGCTTTAGTGGGACATTGGCAATTGGGGCCTTGAATAAAGTGGATGCCTGGATGGTGCCTGGGGAGGGGTCCTCAGGCTATCCTAGGAGGACTAGTAGAGGAAATTCAGAAGGAGATTCGAGTAAGGGAAAGCTGACCTCAAATATTCAAAGGGTTGTGAAATGGAGAAGGGACCAGCTCCTTCCGGGAGGCTGCGGAGGACAGACCCAGGACCAGCAGAAGGAAAGTTTTGGGAAAGAGCTGTGCAGGAACAGGTGGCCTTGCACAGGAATGAGTTCCCCGTCACTGGAGAGAAAGTTAGCAAGGAAGGACCTCGGAGCACTGCTCCCCAGCCTCCTACCCCAGGCGGAGACCCTCAGGTTTCCTCTCTGATGGGCTCAGGCCTCTGCCTGAAAGGCACTCGGGGGAGCTTCCAGCTTCAGCTGCCAAGACAAGGGCTCAGAAGAGCTGGCACGGTCCACCACCACTCTCCAAAGGATTACAGAAGTCAAAATCTCCTCCTGCCTCAGAGTGTTCCTAAGCACCGCTGGCAGAACCTTCTGGAAAGTTGCTCCCGCCCCACCTGTCCACTGGCGCTTCCCAGGGGCAGGGGCGGGAAGACCCTCTTTGCAGAACAAAGAGGAGGCAACTTCTCCTGGCAAGCTTAAGCAAAGGTGAGTGAGTAAACATTTCTGCCTGAGCACATAAGCGCTGGCAATTACCCCAGCAGGAGGCCGGCGAGAGAGCGGGGCGGCAGGGTTGTTTGCTCATCAAGACAAGAAAATCATTTATGTGCTGGGACTCGGAGTGTCAACAGACCCAGGGAAATGTCGTTGCCTCAGCTGCCGCCCTCCGCCGACCAAGGGGGCAGCTGGGATCCCGGGCACAGCTGGTGAGGCACTGACGCCTTTCAGGGCCTTGGGGAGCGAAGGGGAAGGAACCGGGAGGATGCCTGAGGTTTGTGAGAGGAGGAAGAAGATGCGGTGTTTCCCCCCGGCCACCACCGAAGCTGACCCGCTGTTCCCACACCCGCTGCAACCTGGAGGAAGGCAGGGAAGCCCCTAGAGGCTGAGCTTTAAGTAGGGGGGAAACAATTCTGCTTAAAGAAGGAAGGGAAGAAGTGATCAAGTGCGCAGCAAAAACCGCGGTGCCCTTTAAGGCCCCACACGGAGGCTATATTTAGGGCCTAGGACATTCCGCAGGACCTCGGGCAGCCTTCACTGGGAGCAATCGCTAATCACTGCATTGAGTTTACGGGTGCCCCTGGGCACACTTAACCCAGGGCAATGAATAGTTATTGCGCGGCCTCCCGCTCGGGGCCTGTGGGCACACTTAAGCGAGCACGCGGATCGCTGCGAGCGGGCACAGCTCGGGTACACCCTTGGGCACCCTGCGCCTTCAGCGGGGAGAGGCAGAGTATTAAATATCTATGTGCCCTGTGCCCACAGCTGCATTTAGCCAAGGGCAAGGCAGGTGAAACGACTTTAATTAAAACTTAATGCAAGTTCAAGGTGCAGATACGGAAGCAACGGCTGCAGAAGTCACCAGGAATGAATCAGTCAATTCGATGAGGTTCTCAGGTGGGGGAAGAGGGTGGCTGGGAGGCAGGTTGGGGCAGTGGGGACCTGTCTTCTGTGGCATGCATGCTGCCCACCTCGCTGCGTCTGTGGTCTAGGATTTGGGGCCACCACAGGCTCCCACACCTCGTTGGGAGAAGATGCTGGGTAGATATCCAGGTTTCAAAGGCAGGTTATTGGAGACCAAGCAGGTGCCTGGGCTGGGAGCGGAGCCTGCTTTTCTCAGCAACTCGGGCCACTGTCGAGTGACGCCGACAACACCGGCCCCCTGGCGGCAGCTCCCATAATTACAGGCCCGGGGCAGAGGGAGAAGTGACCAGATCCTGAATGTCAAAGAACCTGGTGGCAAGCTTGGGGATCTGGGGGAAGGGCCCTACAATTCTTAGAAGGGCCAACATCAGGCTTTGCATGGCCACTCGTGCCACTAAAAAGGCAAGCAGGCAGAGAAAGCCTTATCCACTCAGCCCTGCTCCTTACGGTTGGGAAGCAAAGTAATACCAGAGGGTCCCGCCCATCTGCTCAAGACCGCAGTGAGCTAGGCTCAGAGCTAGAGGGGCTCAGGTATCTGAGCCATGGCCGGGGTCTCTTCCTGCCACAGCGAACTTGCTTTAAAATTCAGACCAGGTGAGAATACAACTGTAAGCTCTTCCTAGAGAAAGGGCCCAAATCTTATTCAAATCTGTTCCCTTAGCACCAGCACAGTGCCTGGCATATAGTAGGTGCTTAATAAATTCTTGTCGAAATGATGGTGGTTGTCATAGGCAGGCTTTTCGCTCCAAACTCCTTTTATTTCTCCTTTCCTCTTCTCTTCCTTCCTTGGTCCATTTTCCTCCTACCCAGCAGGAGTTACACACCAATATCCCTCAGGCCAAATTCAGCCATACAATGTTTACAAAATTAGAGTCAACTTTTTAAAATTCGATTTCATATACGATTATAGATTTCCAGTTTCTCTTGAACAGTTGGAAAGTCTGGACAGATGGGGCTGGGGTAGGGCCGCCCCTCTGCAGGGGCCGAGGCTGGAGGCTGTGCTGGCCCTAGCTTGCCACTCCCCACCCACACTCTGCCTGGTTCACAGCCCAGCTCTGCCACTTACCCCCTGAGGGACTTTGGGCACACCTCCTAATCTCTCTGTGCTTAGTTTTCTCATCTGTAGAATGGGGAAAATAATAGCACCCACTGCGTAGGGTCACTATGAACATGAAATGAGTTGATATTTACAAAGCTGTTAGAACAGTGCCCAGCACGGAGCAAGTGGCATGAAAATGTTTGCTAAATGAATGGAGACATGAGTAAAATTCTTCACTGCCTCCTCAGTCTGGCTCACTCGCTCCTGCTGCGGGTTTGGCCCCTGTAGACATTTGCGTTTGCAACCTCTCCCCTCACTCAAGGCTTGTTCAGCTCACAGAGGCTCCCCCAGGGCTAGAGAGCAACCTGACTTCAAGGAGCCCACAAGGCAGTGAAGGAGTTCACAATTGGGCTTCGGGAGGAGCCTCTGTTTCCTTTCAAATGCAGACACTACACCTGATTGTATCTGAGGTCTTTTCATGGCAAAAAGCCCCTAATCCTTTCCCATTATTCAAGGCAAGAAGGAGCATTCAAACTAACAACTCTTTTCAACCCAGAGAAAAAGGACAGTTTTGCAGCTTTGGCGGTAACCCCCATCCTCTCACTGTCCCCTATGCCAGCTATCATGGGAAGTCGAGAACATTAATTTGGAGCCCTTTAATACTCCCACCCCCACCCCATCCCATCTCCCCCCAACTTGCACAAACAAAAGCCCAGTGGAACCGGACCCCCAGCTAGTGCCCACGAATGTCCACAGGAGACCGATGCCATGCTGTGCCTCCAGCTTTCACCACTCTGCCCAGCCATGACTTGAGGCTCAGGAGCCATGACCTCTGGAGAACAGCCCCACCTTGGGGGGCATGTCCCCCCACCCCACCCCCGAACCCGTTACCTGAATGAACGCGGGCCGGCAGTAGATGGTCTCTTGGCCCAGCCTGGACATCATCACCGGACACTTCATTATGTGGCGGTCACTCTGCTCCAACCTTTTCACCCCTCTTTGAAATATTCTGATTCCCAACCTGTAATTTGCTTTCTGGAAGTAGGGCAAAATTCATGTGTGCAAATGAAAGAGGAAAACACAGTTAATAGGCCACAATTATAGGTCAGTGACTCTTCGCAGCAAATATGATTAACCTCCCTGACGGGAAGCCAGGCAGTTCTCTCCTAAGACGGCTGGGAAGCGAGACCGAGGCGGCGGAGACTCAGAACCTGGCTCTTCCCTCTGGGCTCCCGCAGGTCAGCCCCACCAAGAAAGGCCTCAGGGCTGGGGGACAGGTGTGGATTTCAGGAAGGTCAAACCTGGTCAGCCAGAACAAAGGCTTGTGCCTGAAAGTCCCTTGACAGGTGACAAACATGTGCTAACAGCTTGTCTCCTTCGACCCTCACAGATGTCTCATCAGGTTGGCTTTTTTATCCCCCATTGTACAGATGAGGCAGCTGAGGCTCTAAGCAGGCAAATGACTAAGACGAAGTGAGGATGAGGTGGGGGGTGGGCGTGTCAAAGAGGAGGGTGGCGGCAGAGAGGAAGAGGATGGGAAGGAACAGGATAGGTCCTCAATTTCTTCCCCTATTATGGTGCACACTCCCCCTCGGGAGAAACTCGGTCAGGGAAGGGAGGACAAAGAAATGAAGGAAAGAGGAAATGGAGGTGAGGGGGGAAAGGGAAAAGAAAACTATTAGGGGTCTATAGGGCAGACTGCACCCTCCCAGGAGCCAGGCAGAGGAATTTAAGCAACAGAAGTGCCCAGGGAACTGGAATCATCTGGACCCCACCCAGGCCATCAGCTGCTGCCTAAATCAGGGCAGCTTCCTGTCCCCCGGCTCCTCCTTGTCTGGCGGGCATATGCCCACCCCTGGGACCCCAGCTCTGAAACCCGCTTCTCTGAGCCGTCCCTGGGCAGGGTCCAGGTTGTATGGGGCCTGAAGCTCATGTAATTTCCGGGAAGGGCCTTTTTAAGAAAGAGAACACAAAACTATCTGACATTTGCTAATTTTGCAAACTCATATGGTCTTGTGAGCATATAAGGTGCCAGAGTGCAAGTGACAGGCCCTGAAGCTTTGGGCCACTCAGCCTCTGCGCATCCAGCAACACCATTTATTCACTTCACTAAGCACTTATTGAGCACCTACTGTGCGCCAGGCCCCAAGGCAAGCCCTGGAGGTGTGCCTCCCCCAACAAAGACACTCCAGATCTAGCAGGAGATGGCTGTGTGAGCAGAAAAGTTCTGAATCAGGGTGGCAATGACAGAAGCAGGTACAATGCACAGAGGAGCAGTGATCAACTGTCAGAAAGCCTGCCTGGAGGAGGCGGCATGTGAGCTGGGTTAATATGCCTGCTGGTCTTTCGAGATCTATCCCTAGAAACTCAGAGAGGGCGGAGCCTGGGTCCCAACCCTCTCTTCTGTCTCTTTCAGCTCTGTTTCTACAGAGGAATACTGGTGTAGTGCCCCCTCTCTTAACACCTGTGCTCAGGCTTAGCCCCTTTTGTCCCCAGAATGGAAGCTTCCCAAGAGACATCATCAAGTATCCCACAGGAAATAGTTCCCAAGCGCACCTTCTTCTGCACGAAGCAGGCCAAGTGTCAGGCTGGAAAAATGAAGTCACTATCAGGACCTGGATGCAGGAAGAAGAGACTCCAGACGGTCCAGGGCCCTCCCGTCCCGATGGTGAGAAAAGACCTGTAGTAGATAAAAATAGCAATGACAGGAAAAGGCCTGGAAAGGTATACACCAGCAGGAAATCCCATTAGTTCTACCTTCAGAGTATATCTAGACTCTCACCCCTCCTCCCCACTCTGGTCCCTGGCCTGGGTTTCTGAAGCTGCCTCCTCTCTTATTTCCTGGCTTCCTGTCGCATCCCTAATTGTCTATACTCCACGCAGCAGCCAGTGGGATCCTGTTCAAAACTAGGTTCAAAACAGGGGGCGGCCGGTTAGCTCAGGTGGATAGAGTGCAATGCTCATAACACCAAGGTTGCCGGTTTTGATTCCCACGGGAGCCACTGAGCTGTGCCCTCCACAACTATCAATAGATTGAAACAACTACTCAACTTGGAGTCTGAGCAGTGAGCGGTTAGCTCAGGTGGTTAGGGCGCAGGCTCATAACACCAACGTTGCTGGTTCGATCCCCCACACGGGCCACAGAGCTGCGCCCTCCACAACTAGATTGAAGACAGCTATTTGACTTGGAGCTGATGGGTCCTGGAAAAACACACTGTTCCCCAATTAAAAAAACAAAAAACAAACAAAAAAAACTAGGTCAGATCATGTTGTTCCTCTGCTCAAATCTCCCCATTTTTTCACTCCAGAGTCCTTGTAAGCCCCACGGGATTTTGCCCCTCCCCTCCCTGACCCTCAGCCCCATTTCCTCACCTCCCTCCCTCTGCTACAGCCACATTGGCCTCCCTGCTATTTCTCAAGTATGCCAGGCACACTTCTGCCTCAGGGCCTTTGCACTGGCTGTGCCCCCCTGCCTGGAGCTCCCTTCTCTTGGATACCTGACTGGCTCACTCCCCCGCCTCCTTCAAGTCTTTAGGTAAATGTCATCTTCTCAATGAGGCCCACCCTCTTATGACATGTATCCTATCCCCTGCTTCCCTTTTTTGTAACACTTAATCACCTTCTATCTAAACTGCTATCTATAATAATTGACTTATTTGTTGCTGTGTTCCCCTACCTAAACATCAGCTCCATGGGGCCAGGAGTGTCTGTTTTGTTCATCACTGCCTCCCTAGCGCCTAGAGCAGTGTCAGGCGGCAAACAGGCTCAATAAACATTTGTTGAATTAGTGAAATAGAGAAATATCTCTGGGTAGAGTGATTCGGGTAGTTTTTATTATTGTCTTTGGATTTTCTCTAGTTTCCATAATTATCTTGCATTGCTTTTGTCATCTTTTTTTTAAAGCCATTTTTAAAAGCTCACAGTTTCATTTGCAAAATGTTGACTCAATTGTGTATTTGACGGGAGGTGAAAACGCCATTTCAGAAAACAGCTCTGGAAGGCTTTCCGCGGGGGCGTCTCTGGTGACATGCTTTCCTCTCAGATGCACGCAGCTTCCACCTCTATCTTTAGCAGAGAGATCAAGGCCAGGCCTCTAGAAGGGAGGCTGTGAAAGATAGGAGATCACTGGGGAAATAAAGTGTCTAAGCCTGGATGTGCAAATTGACCTGGATCGTTTTAGTTTTGCATTCACGTTTGCACTTTGTAAATATTTGCCTGGCATCCCGCTGTTCACACCTGCCTGCTGTCCCCTCAAGTTTATGGAAGGCAGCAGGCACCGTCATTTCTCCATCCCCACCTGGCGCTGCTAGCGTTTCCGCCTGAAATGAAAACTCTCCCGCGAAAGCCACAGGTGTCTCTGACAGCGCCTAAAACTAATGGCCTGTGGCTGGCCGCTGTGACTAATTCTCTGATTATTGACTTTATGATTTTACGCTTAAAACTTCTTTATAATAACACACAGAAATGTTTAATGGGCTCTATCCAGAGCCATAAAAATTACTTATTGAACAAGCGTTTTAAAACTATTAATCTATTGTTTTCCATTAATAATGGCTCTCCAAAGAACAGGCGACAGCTTAATGTATCCACAGCATTTCTCCTCGAAAAGGGGCCTTTTAATACATAAACGCCGCTCCCAAGGCAATACGTGCTGGCTGGCCATTGGGCAGCTGACCCTCCCAGGACAGAGATAGGCCCCGTCAGTCCCGGAAGGTGCTGTAAGGATTTCCAGAATGAACAGGGGCTCTGGGAGATTTTCGTGGCCTCGGAGAGATCGGAAAGCCCCTGTCTTCGGTTGCTCTCTTTCTGTGCAAGAGAGAAGAGGGATCCCAAGGGCCGAAGCTGCACTGCCCGAGATGGAGAATGGGAGGAAGCAGGCAATTTGCACATCTCTCTACTCTTGTACTCTCCGGAAGGTTCCAGGAAATAACCAGGTGGTACCCACCCCCTTCCCACTTTTTTCTGTTGGTAAGCCTGTGGCTGAAAGGTTTCTGTGATACATGCCCTAGTTTTTTTACTGTTTTAGGTACACAATTCTCCCATCAAGTGTGAGATGGCTCCCCGCTTCGACTGTGTAAGAATCACCCCTTTAGTCCCACATCCATTTATTTTCCTGGGTGGTTTAGATTTTGGAGCATATCAGCACTAGATGGACATTTCTTCTAGGGTTTCATGCTGTTCGTTCATGCAACCAATATTTATTGAGTGTCTACTACATACCAGGCAATGTTGTTGGCTCTGGAGAGAGAGCAATAACCAGAAACGTTGGGCCTGGCCCTTACCTTCTGTGGAGGAGTGCAGATCACAAACAGGTGAACAATTGTAGATCCTTTTAAGTAGTGTTGAGTGCTGAGAAACATGAAGGATGAGACTGTAACTTGGGGTAGGTGGGGATTGCTTTAGGTAGAGAGTCAGGAAGACTTCTTAGACAGGTGGACTTTGAGCAGAGATTTGAGTGACAGGAAGGAACCAGACATGAGAAAATGAGGAGCTTTCCAGGCAAGGGAAAGGCAGTGCAAAGGTCCTGGGGATGAGGTTATACATAGGGCATCTCTCCCTCAGTAGAGGCACTACCTGGCCAACCACTGTCTCTTACCTGGCAAGTGCAGTATTCTGCTCAGGGACAGCCTCAACCCCCTGCACATGGCTCCTGGGCTTCCACAGGCCCATGTAGTCTGAAAAGCACTCTGTCTGGTCTGTCGAACAAGATTCTCTGAGAAGGAAGAGAGGACTTCTCCTCCCAGCCCTGCTTCAATGGAATGGTGAGGAAGGGACACATAGGAGTCAGATCATCACAACTGAGAGGGGCCTTTTATTCCATGCAGAGGTCACAGTTCACAGAATGTCAGAGGAGAAACGTTTTAGCGTGGGGCTTCCCTTTCAGTGTGCCTACAAATCACCTAGGGGTCTTTTTAAAATACAGATTCTGGGGCCGGCCGAGTGGCGCGATGGTTAAGAACTGGTTTGGGACGCCAGAGGGCCCCGGTTCAGATCCCACATATGAGGGCCAGTGACACTGCCCTCTACAGCTAAGATGGTGAATGGCAGCTCAACCTGGAGCTGGGCTGCCGTGAGTCGCCAGCGATGGCGTAGGCTGCAGCCCCTGTGGCAGTGGGTTGCCTTGGGCTACCATGGGTAGCCAGCAGCCAGCATGAGCGGCCAGCAGCCGCAGTGAGCGGCCATCCAGAAACCGGCGACTGATGTGCCTTCCCCGGGAAGAGCGCAATGATGGTGCCAACTTGGGCCAGTGAAGTAACATTCTCCACAACTAGACTGAAGAACAAAAGGACAGCAACTTGTCTGTTCCCCTTCCCCCAATTCCCAAGCACTGTCCCCATCCCCCAATTCCCCAATAAAAATCTTTAAAAAAAGAATACAGATTCTGATTCAGTGGGTCCAAGGCAGGGCCTGAGATTCAGCAGCTCTAATCAGCTCCCAGGTGAGGCCGATGCTGTTGGTCCAGGGACCACACTTTGAGTAGCCAGGTCCTAGAGGTCATTAAATCCAACCACTGCATTTTACAGGGGGCAATGTGACTTAATGGTAAGTGCGAGTCAGAGCACCTGGGTTTGAAGCCCACCTCTGGGGGTGTGCGTGTGTGTGTGTGTGCGTGTGTGTGTGTGTGTGTGTGTACCTATTGCTTAGTTTCCATTTTTTCCTGTGATTTGATTGTATAATGATGATGGTGTTGGTGATAACGGTAGTGATGATGGTGATGATAACGGTGATGATGGTAATGATAGTCGTGATAATGATGGTGATGATGGTGATGATGGTAGTGATGATGGTGGTGGTGATAATAGTGGTGATGGTGATGGTGGCAATTATTATAATAATGGTAGTAATGGTGATAATGATGGTGCTGGTGATGATAGGACTTTACTGGGTGGATGTAAGACTTAAATGAATTAATGTATACAATGTTCTTTACAGGGTGTTCATCACAGAGATAGTACCTAAACTGATAGCTCTTATCATAGTAATAATTACTGTCACCCAAAGATTAAAGGACTTGTCCATGGCCATAGAGCAGCAGGATCAGGTGCCTAAACATCCCCACCATCATTTTCCAGCTCATCACACAATCAAATAAATTAGAGTGTCAAGTGTCAGAGAAATCAAATAAATGTTAGAACACACATGACCCTGAATCAATACTGAACCCAATGTCATTTTCCCCTGTTGGTAGGAGAGGTACACCAGACCGCTGGCAGGCCTCACGGTCATCATTGTGGACATAGCCTCCCATTGTCTGGGAGAGTCAGTGGAGAAAGTGGGGGCTCTGGGTTGAATCTCCACAGTACAGACACGTGATAACCATGTGCCGTTTAAAAGATACAAATAAGCCCTGGGTCGGAACTTGTTTACCAATCACTTAACTCATAAAGGTGGAGCAGGGACAAGCTAGGGCATCCTTGGAGCTTTGCGGCTCAGCTGAGCACTCCAGGTAGAGGGCACCACCTATGCACAGGCCAGAGGTAAGAGGCAGTATGCAGTGTTCTGGGGACACCCTACCCCTACCTCTGCTCACCATACCTCCAATCCAGTCTCCAGACAGCAATCAAGAAGGAACTTAAAATGTAAATGAGGCCATATCAGTTCCTTCTCAGAACACTTCAACGGCCAACACGGCCCTGCTCACCTCTCTGTCCTCTTCCATCACCACACTACGGTCAAGCTGGTCATTTCTCCACCTCAGGGCCTCTGTACATGCTGTTTCCTCTGCCTGAAACACGGTTCCCCATTCTTCACATGGCTGGCTCTTCATCCAGTAGGTATCAAGCTTCAGTGTCAGCCCCTCTGGGAGACCCTCCCTAACCACCCCCACCTAGTCTCTACTCTGGGCTTATGTTTGTTTCCTTCTTGGCTCCTATTGCATTTCATCGCATCACTGTTGGAAACTCTGTTATCTAGTAGTTCACAAGATTCCTGCACACTTCCCCATTGAGTGAAGATAAGCACAGATAAGCTTGTCTCCCACCCAAGTGAAGATGAGCTCAGGAAGGGCAGGGACTGGGTCTGTCCTGTTCACACTCTACTCCCGCCCTTCCATTGACCTGTGCCTGGCACACAGTAGCTGCTCAGTAAATATTTGTCCAGTAAATGGCTATGGCTGAATCCCAGCATGCCCAGGGGAGGGGAATGATGGAGGTAATGACCTGGTGATTTATCTATTTCCCTTCTTCCCCCAACACATAAATTATAAGCTTCATAAAAAGACAGAAATCGTGTCTAACTTATTCACCACAGCACCCCCAACACCTTGTCCAGTGCCTGGCATCCACAGACACCTGATAAATGTGTTAAATATGTTTTTATTACAAGTACACTGGGGGAAAAAACTACACTGGAGTTTTCTGTAATCACACAGGAACAACAATGTCAAGTGAGATAGCTTGGCCACAGTAAGTAGAATCTTGTTGGATATGAAATAGCTTCCCAAACTGAGCCCTGCCCAGGCCTCCCTAATGACATAGAGTTGATAGAGATCTTAAATTAAATATACTCTAGACATGACTTATCTGATGACTAGAGAAATGGGAAGATGGAAAAATTTTATCTCCTGGGTTAATTTCTCTGTGAACAAAGACATTAGGGCTGCCAAGAGAAACACAAGATGCACGGAGCCTGGAGTTGGGCTGTCAGGGTTCCAATTCTGGATCTAGCTATGGGACCTGGGGCAAGCCATTAACCTCTCCAAGACTCCATTTCCTCTTCTGAAAAATGGGCACATGTGCAGTACAGGATGAACCTTGCCCTTTGCCCCCAGCTCCTGGGAGGTAAATTCTAAGCCCTCGGAATATTTCACATGATAAGTGTCTCTGTTTCCCTGAGGGCCGTGGGCCACACTAGATAGTCTGTGATGACAACGTGATTTGTGGCGGAGGGCCCGGAACTATATGGTATCGCCTCAGCCTCTGGAGGGGCTGACTAAGGTCAGCCATGCCTATGTGACTGACCCCCAGGAAAAACTGGACACCAAGGCTCAGAGGAGCTTCCCTGATTGGCAATACTCTGTTTACAGTCATACATCGCATAATAATGTTTTGGTTCAATGACAGATCACATATATATACGACGGTGGTCCCATAAGATTATAACGGAGCTGACCAAATCCTATCGCCTGGCAATGTGAAGCCATTGTAACATCATAACGCAAGACATTACTCACGTGTTTGTGGTGATGCTCGTGTAAACAAACCTACTGTGCTGCCAATCATATAAGAATATAGCACATAATTCTTGATAATACTTAATATATTATAATACCTGATAAGTGACTATCTTACTGGTTTATATATTTACTATACTATACTTTTTATTGTTATTGTAAAGTGTATCCTTTCTACTTATTTTTTTTTAAAGTTTGCTGTAAAATAGTATACCCTGTTATGCCCGCAGCAGACTCGTATATCTCATGTTTACCGCATCTCTTGATTGTATCATTTCTCTTGTGCCTGATTTAATCTTGTGTTGTTTTGTACTGTGACATGCTATACAGGTTTGTTGCCTGAGAGCAAGAGGCTACCACCTGCAACCTAAGTGCGCAGTAGGCTATACCATCTAGGTTTGTGTAAGTGCAGTCTATGATGTTCACACGATGACGAAATCACCTAATGCTGCATTTCTCAGAACGTACCCTGTTGTTAAGCAGAGCACGAGCGTGTATTGTCACGCATCATTGCTGGGAGAAGTTGGCACTGTTTGCACAACTCCGCTGGGAAAGGACAACTACGAGCACCTGAACTTCTCCTGGATTCTGCCCTGTGCCCCTCTTCCTTTGGCTGATTTTAATCTGTATCCTCTCGCTGTAATGAATCATATTCATGAATACAATAGCTTTTCTGAGCTCTGTGAGTCCTTCCAGTGAATTATGAGGGTAGTCTTGGAAGCCCCCGAACTTGAAGCTGGTGTCAAAAGCAAGGGTGGTCTTGGGAACTCCTGAACCTTGCAGCACAAGACTAGCACCTTCCTCATTGGGTATCAAGAAGAGGAAATGACACGATGCCTGTAAAAACCCTCAGCACAGGGCCTGGCCGAGAATAAGTGGTCAGCGAATATGTGCTGCTCCTCTGGTGTCTTCCGTTTGGTGCAGTGGCTAAGTGCAGAGAGTCTGGAGCGTGCCTGCCCGGGCTAAAATCCTGGCACTACCACTCATTGCTGTGGGAGCTGAGACAAGTCACTCCCTCTCCGGAACCTTGGTTTCCTCATCTAAAAATCACGCTGTTGTAAGGATGAGTTCTTGGACATAGATCCCTGAAAGCAGGCTTGGCACACAACACACGCTCCATGTGCTGGTTTTTGCTATTAAAACAAGTGCTGAACTCTGAGTCCTGGCACCAGCACTTGGCCTCCTGAATCCCATTTCGTTGTCGGGAGGCTGAGAGACTGAAACCCAGACTCCTGCAGAAGGCTTTCTCATTTCCAAAGTTCCCCGTTATCACCAGGTTGCTTATCAACCTGCTCAGTGGGGAAAGGCCCAAAGCCTGATACAAGCCATAAAAACATAATTTATTCGCCTGTTAGAAACGTCAAGTGCAGGGCTTGGCCTGTCCTTGTTTGACTTGCTGGGAGGAATCCATGGGAACACCACAGGCTGAACACAGTTAAGACAGACAATCCTGCAGGAGAGAAGGGATAAAAAAAGGGGTGGGGGGCGGTGGTATCACCCCACCCTCAGCTGCTGCTGATCTCCCTTCCTTCATTCAGTCCATTATATTTTTTTGGAGTGCCTACCCCACACAGTGACCAAGACAGGGAAAGAATCAACCAAAAACAAGTAAAGAAATACATGAACAAAGAAATCTCAGATGAGGATCCAGCTTGGAAGAAAGTAAAACAGAGCAATGAGGTACAAAACGTTTGGGTTGGGGAAGGTCAGTGTTAAAATATAATTTTCCAAAAAGGTGACATCATGACTCTCATACAGATTAAAAAAAAAAAAGTGGACCCATGTTAAAGATTTAATTTAACTCATGATGAATGAAAGAACCAGGTAGACGTTACAACCACTCCAAAGGAGAAATCTAAGCACAGACACATTTATAGATGAGGGATGTTGAAATGGATTTGCAAATAAATGGGAAACACTTCTTTCACAGAGGGGGATGGAAGTCAATTGAACCGCCCCTGACTCTATTTGCATATCCAAAGACAAGAGTCATCTATACGCCAAGGGTTCTCTACCGCTTAGGACACCACAGAATAGCTTAGAGGCAGTGAAAGCCTGGAACCAGACAGCAGAAAGGGTGCCCTCTAAACAATGCGATTTCCCACTGGAGATATGCAGCCATCATTTTTTGCTTATTCCAAATTTCCTTATGTGGGGTCGGGTGTCACTGAGAAGCTGACCTTTGAGCCAAGATGGTATGTCAAAGAGTTCCATGCAAAGATCTAGGGAAGGGGCATCCTGGTAGAGGAAACAGTAGATGCAAAAATCCCAAAGTAGGGAAAGAGTTTGGTGTGTTTAAGGAACCAAAAGGTCAGTGGGGCTGGAGCCAGTGACAAGGGGGCTAATGGTAGGTACAGATGAGAGGAGCAGGCAGGGGCCAGAGCGAAAAAAGTGCAGGCTGAGATTTTCTCTTAAGAACGAAGGAGATCGATCCCCAGAGAACTCTGAGCAAGGAAGGGATAGGATCTCACTTACATTTTAAAAGCATCTTTCTGACTACTGAGACTCGCTATTCAAACATGACTGCAGGCAAGAGCCTAAACTTCTCAGGAAGAAATTTTCCTTAGGGGAGTTCAGGAAACAACCCTGGAGCCAGAAGCTGGGAAGGAGGACTGACAGCAACAGGGAGAAACACCGGGATGCGGAGCAGTGAGAAAGCAGCGCCTCTTGGCAGAAATGAGATTGATTCAGCCACTTTGGGAACTGGGTGGAAGCTACTAAAACTGAACACAGATTCCCTCTATGACTTCCAGAAATTCCACTCCAACAGAAATATGAGCACATGGGCACCAAAAGCCACGCCCAGGATTGTTCCCCACGGCACTGTTATTCCCTAAAACTGACAACTACTCAAGTGCCCATCAATAGTAGACCGGATACTGGGGTCTATTCATTCAATGGACTAGATATGTTGGGATAAGAAGGAGTGAATGACTGATATGTGTGACAACGTGGATGAATCTCAGAAACATTTTACGGACGAAAGAAGCCAGACATAGAAGAGTTATGTACCCTTTGATTAGATTTATAGGAAGTTCAGAGATAGACAAAGCTGCCCTTTGGGTTTGGAAATCTGGATAGTGGCTACCCTTGGGGGAAGAAGGCAAGAGAAATGAATGGTTGGGAAGAAGGGCTTCCAATGTTGCATTTCTTGTCCTGGGTGATATTACACAGTTATTTGCTTTGGAACAATTAGTTGAGCCGTGCACTAGAGCTGAAGGGAGAAACTGAAATGCTTTGAATTGAATCTGCCAAATTGTTAGGTTTCTTCAATAGAAAACTGGGTGTTGTCTCATGCACACTTCTGGATTATTTTATTCTATACACCTTTCAACATCTTTGAGCTATTTTACTACTCTGTAAATTGTTGAATGCACTCTGATAATAATGCAAATGATTCCTGTCCAAAACAATGCATATTGTGTCCAGTGGAGCTGCAGGGATTACTGACTTATGGATACTGACCAATTCTGTATCTACTGTATTAAGCTAATTCATGCCAGCACCCCTGACTGTCTGTGTGTCTGCTCTGGATTCTCCTTCGAACCGACTTTAATGGATTGTAACATCGTACTGGTTCCCTCATTAGTTAACAAGTTAAATAAAATCTCTGACACATGTTCATTTTATATTTGTATGGAATCATGATTATAACCTTTTTATTAAAAAATGTTCTTTGAACAAAATCTATGTTGGGTTTTTTTCTGTAGGTGTGTTAGACTTCAATTAAAAAATGTTAGGGCCAGCCGAGTGGCTCAGTTGGTTAAGAGTGCAAGCTCTGAGCAACAGGATCGCCAGTTTGATTCCCACATGGGCCAGTGAGCTGCACCCAAGCTGAGCTGCCAACATGTGGCAGGATCGCTCAGCTGGTGAGAGCATGTGCTCCTAACAATATGGTTGCCAGTTCGACTCCCACATGGGATGATGCGCTATGCCCACTCGCAACTGAGATTGAACACGGCACCTTGAGCTGAGTGGCCACGAGCTGCCGACAGGCGGCCAGATGGCAACTGGACTTGGAGCTGAGCTACCGCCCTCCACAACTAAGATTGAAGGACAGCAACTTGTATGTCCCCCTTCCCCAATTCCCCAACACTGTCCCCCTTCCCCAGTTCCCCAGTAAAATATATGTTTTTTAAATGTTAAATTTAAAAAGTTCAGTTTAAAAGGGCAGGAAAGGGTGCTGTGATTCCATCTAAGGCTGCTATCATCAAACCCTTGAATTCCTGGGTGGGATGGGGCCAGGCCAGCTGCCAAGGCCCACAGTCTCCCCAGAGTGGATTGGCGGAGAACGACAGGGTGATTTCCCAGGCCTGGAATCTGAGCCAAGCCTGCAGCCACAGGGCTGGAGGAGCGAAAGGCTGTCCGCTGCCTAACTCCATTCACTCTATTCAAAAGCCAGAGCCACATCCCTAGGAGACTGGCTGGTCCCTGCCCCTCCCCAGGCTCCTGGCATGCTAACCTGCTGTGGGTTTCCTCCAGTTCCCAGCAGAGGAGAGCGCTATTCTTATCTGATTAATTCACAAAACAAAGACCTGGCTGGGCAACAGGGCTTGAAGTAGGGTTCTCTGAGGAAGGCCAGTAAATCTGCAACTAGAGCAGAGGAACAGACCAGAAGAGGGGAAGTGGGTCCTCCGGCATTTAGCATCGTCCTCGCGGGGGGATTCCTGCCTCTGCTGTCCTGTTAAGGGAAGCTGAGCGAAAGGGACCTTGTAAGTCACCTGGAGGCAGCAGATGAGTGGTGGGCGACCACCCCTCCTTCGGTACCTACTCCAATATTCCTCCTTGAGCTTCTGACCCCATGAAGACTGACAAACTGTTAGGAAAAGATGTGGGTTTGGGTTTTATACCCTCACTTCTGCAACCCAGCTGCATCCCCAAAGCTGAGCCCCCCCCCATAGATGTGAAGTGGGTGCTTCTCACCCCAAGGGCTGAAGGGGAAATGGGGATTTGACAGCACCCAGGCCTCCTCCTAGCCACCCTTCGCACCCTGTGTCAGTCTGATCGCCTTCATTGTCTTCAGACTTACAAACCTCACAAAACTCAGAACAAAAACCCCACAGTGACCTGCCAAAACCCCTGTGTGGTTTATTTTGTGGTGGCAACAACCAGCTATTGTCGACATTCAAGCCAGCCCTCAGAGGCCTCACTTCCCACTCCCAGGAGCTGTTGAAAGCATTTCTTAAAAGTGGACCTCAGCTGGGAAAGGACGCAGCAATTTCGTTGCTAAGGAAAATGAGATTTCTCTTTGTATCCTTACAAATTCGATAGCTTGTGACCAGGAGCCTTGTCACTGGAAAACTCCTTGAAATCAAACAACTCTTGGTCAACTTGAACTCTAAAATTTGTTTTAAGGACCCTTCTAAGAAAAACAAGGAGTGTTCTGTTTTCTCCCAGCGTCTGCAAATCCTTCACAAGACAGGACGGCTTGAATTCTGGGAGTCTGGAAGGTGGGGGTAACTATGGCTGGACATCGCCCCAGAAGGCCAGCCCTTCCAGGCCTGGTCAAGCCTCACACATTTGGCCCCCTTTCCACATAGACATGAGATGTCAGAATTTTTATTTCTGCTCCAAGGGCTGTGAGCATGCCAGCACCCCACTGGCCTCTCCCAGGTCCCACAACGACCAGCTAAGAACTTTTGGGACGGCCTGGACAAGTGACACTTACCAAACAACTGCCAGGGAACC